CACACACACACACCACACACACACACACCACACAACACACACACACACCACACACACACACTCACACCACACACACACACATACACACACCACACACACACACATACACACTCATTTGAACTATCAATAGTTACAAACCTTTGAAAACATTTCTAAAGAAGCTACTCTAGAAGAGAAGCTACCCTAAAGAAAAGTTACTCTATTCTAGTATTTCTACCAAGAAAGGTAATATATGTATGTCAGGACAATCAAATGGAAAAGGAAGCTGTAAGCTTTAAGAGTGCATTCATATGTAACAAAATATTTTTGTGTGAGATGGAAACTACTACTCAAGCTAATGCTACTGAGTTTTTGTGCCTTGTATTTTCTTCCAATAGAATTGCCACTAGATTTCATTCCTCGCTCATGGGGCTATGCCTAATATGATTAACAATATTATACAACTTCCTCAGAAATTGAGAACACAATTCCTGAAGCTAAAAGTTATTTTACACCCTGATTCTTGCTAGAAGAATTTTAACATACTACCAACTCACTGTCAGAAATGTGTGTAAAGGTTGAAATAATACTCTCTCCAGAAAAACATCCACAAAAAATATTCATTGCAAATCCTCATATGTTATATCTTGAGTAAATTTAAGAAATCAGAAAATGCTTTAACAAACCAGTAGCTGATTTTTAATTATTCCCATTAAGACTTCTTTCTCTGAATAAGAGAACTAACTCAAGTTTCTATTGCTTTATTTTTTACAGCTACACTCATTGACAAAACTGCCACTAACTTTTTAGACATGTAAACATGAATTTTAAGGGAAGATGGGTTCACGTCTAAAAAAGACATAAATACTTACTTGGAAGATGGGTGATGCTGATCATCTTGTACTTTGCAGAGTTCTATCACTGACATTAAATCTACTCAATAATCTATTCAATAACTAGAAGAATTGTGTCTGCTTCTAGCTCCAAATCAGAAAGTATATCTCTCACGATCAGAAATGTGGAATCATTAAGTTCCCTGCAAATGAAATATTTGGTGTGATTTTTTTCTTTGATGATTAGAGATAGCTCCATTGCCTTTTGGTCTAATACCAATTCTCTTGTTTATAGATATGCGATGACAGTCTCACAGAGAGCCAGTACCAACTGGCCCTAGGGTTGATGCAACAATCACCATGATGACCAATGCTTGAATCACTATCATGTACCTTACTCTCCTGCTCAGGGATGCCACTAAGCCCAGAAGAAAGACCTGGGAGAGGGCTTAATGCCATTTCACCGCATGGCTGAAGACAGTTTGCCTAAGATGTATTCTCATCCTCCAAGAGAAAGCAGTGAAACACCAACTGAAGCAACCATTTTCTTTGGGGTTGACAACACAATTCCTAGATCAGAAACAACTATTACTTCAGAAGGAGACCATGTCTACACACTAGAAAGTGACTTTTCAACTGGCAACAAAGTGCCCCCTACAAAGGAAAAACTGAAATCAGAAGATGATGTTGAGACTCGCATTAAGCCAACAACTTATCCAGAGAAAGAAATTACCACTCTGACTGGCACTATAACAAAGGAACCTATTACTGAAAGTTTCATTCCAGTGAAAATTGGGAGTCTTTCACCCTCAGTTGGTATTGTTTCTTTAATTGATTTTCCCACTCACATGAAAAAGGAAGATATCCTCTTGGATACCATTGGCAGGAGGGATGAAGAGATCACACTGACAGCTGAAATCTCTGGCTCACTAGAGGGTGACACTGCCAATGTTGCTGACATCCCTGCTTTTCCAGCTGAACCAGATGAAACAGATGTTAACGATTATAATTCCTCTGTCAGGCCTAATGTTCCTGATGATGAGGCTGTTCGGGTCACAGGCCTCTCTATTCCTGAGGCTGAAATCTCTTCCGGTACTGAAAAAACTATCACCACCATTTCAGATAAGACTACCCTTGCCAAAGACAATGTAACTGAAGTCAAGCTAATTGTGTCGGAGGACGATCCCAAAGCTGTGAGTGTATGCACTGACTCTGATGAGGAAAGGTTTATTACTGTGTTTGAACTCACTCCTCCCGAGAAAGACAAAGATAACCAAGAAGATGATCTGACTGATGAAGAGTCTACAGACAGCATCAACGTTTGGATGAAGAGTCCTCCGGCGAATGAAAGAGAGACTCATTCTATTTTGCTTACTGCTGTGGAATCCAGATATGACTTCATTGCCCCTCCACTGGCAGCTGTGAACTTCGAGGGAGAATCGGCCACCAACCCAACAGAAGATTCGTCGGAAAGCGATGCAAACGAATCTGAATCTACAGTCATTGAATCACTTTCAGCAACTACCACGGCATTAGACCTTGAAGACATAGAGGACACCTCTACAGCTGAAACTGGTATCTTTAAACTCTTGAAGGAAGATCCAGACGAGTTCCTGATTTAAAAACAACAAAAGAGATGTCTTGTAGAATTGTGTAATAATTTAGGTAGCTATTCCTAACATCTAAGAAGTTGACTCAGCAACAAAAATCTTAAGAAAGCGAGAGAATGTGGGCATTTAAGGCAAGTATTAGAAACATTGGAGATGTTCATAAGTTGAAGTCATGCAGCAGAATATATTTATGGAAATTTTTTTTAAAAAACCAGTATTATGGTTTCCCTAGTACCACAAAATTTGAGTTATTCAACAATTACTTATAAAATACTTGCTACCAGCTTTCTAAGATATGAAGACAGCAGTAAAGGAGCCCAAGTCTACAGCATTTAATAACATTTTGCCTAATCCTCATTATTTTTAGTAAGAACTAAGGTATGGAGGGAATCAAATTGACATATAAAATTACTGATTATTAAAAGATCCTCTAAAGTGCTTATTCCAAATATTTTCTTTCATTAATATCCCACTGATGGGTCTCTTCTATCAAAAGTATATCTATAACCCTTACATATATGACACCCTCATATACGATAAATAAGATTGGGTCTTGACAAAGAATGGATACTAAGTAAAACAAAATATGTTACAAATGTTCATTTGTCTGAAAACTTCTTTGTAAAAAAAACATATGAATTGATTTAATTTTAATTCTGCTTAGATTTGTATCCTGAATTTCTGTCAATTCTTTTTCAGGTCTTAAGACACTAAATATCGCACTCTTCTTAAGCTCTTGGTTAGCAACTCAGGGACATATATCTTCACTTTTTTACCTTGGCTGATTCTTCTTCAATAAAACTTTTTGGCAGCAACCAATTTACTGTGTGCAAGTGTGTTTCACTGTATGTGGTATAGAACTCTTTAAAATATACATGTCAAACTAAATTTAATTGTTTGCTGAAAGAATAACAGCTCTCATTATCAGAAAGTGCATTATCCCATAAGCTATTAGATTATTGCATTCTCTTGCAGTTACATTCTCTTGCAATGTTGAACAATGGCAATATGCCAAAGCTGAGAGCTAGCCACACAATTACAAAGGTAAACATCTGAAATTCTTCAGGCACTCTGGGTTGCTATGCTATGAGTACTACTGTTAAATTGGCTTGTGTTGAATGCATTCTCCTTACAACATTTTAATATGTAATTGTTTATTAAGAGAAAACTCCATTGTAAGGTGAGGAACATCTGTGCTATGTTTATTTGAAAAAGATACGCCTGTGTCACAAAGTAGTCCTCCTCACGGATCCCTCTGACACAAGATAATTCTAGCCAAAATTTCCGTCTAGCCCTCTCAATGCACCCCTGTTCAAATTCTTCCACACATCTGTACCCACAGTCACCTTTATCCTGTGACCTACAGCAATCATTCATGAAGTAAGAAAATCCTGACCACAAGAATAATAAAGAAATCAGTCTAAGGGGGAAAGATTCCTAATTACAAAACAAGTTTTCCCAAAGAGGTTTCCTCCATACCTGCTCAATGTGATAGATTAGCTTTCCATCAAGATATATTTGTAACACCTGTCAACAGGACTAAGCAGTTTTGTATGGGTACGTTTGTGGTATATATGTGTCCCCTGATTCAACCTATTCATATTAGTAGTACATACAGAATATTTGAATTAAATTTTGTGTCTATTTTTTACACTATTATATATTCTTTTGGCCTTCATGTATAACTCAAATATAGCATCAGTCTAAATTGAAATTGTAATTCCCTTTCCCTTGAATTGCTCATCTCCTAGTATTTTCCACCTCAGCAAGACATCATCTGTAGAGACTAATTTTCACTCACCTCTCTCTCCTTTCTCTCACCTTATAGCAATATCTATATATATATAACCATATACAGCAAAGCTTTCGTTATTCTAAAGATCTCCATGTACTAAATAGCACACCAATCCATTTACCTCCCATGATCAAATCTTTATTCCAAGCTCTATGTAATATATATATAACATAAACTGATCATACCACTTCTACTGCCATGCTTAACATTTTTCAAAAGTCTTCACAATGATTTCAGCTTCTTTACAACAGGGACTCTGCTACCATACAGCACCAGGATACATTCCTGTCATTTTATATGTTTTAATCAGGATTTGTAAATATTCTACACTCTCCCTAAAACATTCTTGAGCTCACTCTTTTAAGCTCAAATGTCACCTCCCTAGTTTTACCTTCTATGAACTTTCCATTCACAAAGACTCCTCTGCTTTCCCATGATATTTTAGCTCATGAAACATTAGATTTTGCTTTATATTGCTTTTTCTAATTTAATGTTACATTATCTTTTTTTTGTCGGTCGTGGGGCTTGAACTCTGGGCCTGGGCGTTGTGTTACATTATCTTTCTTAGACTGCCATAACAAAGTACCACAGATTGGTTTTATTTTTTCTAAATTAAGTTTATTGTCAAGGTGATGTACAGTTGTATATATAAGGTAATGAGTACATTTTTTGTCGAATATTGTTACCCCTCCCTTGTTTTTCTCCAATTTTCCCTCCCTCCTTTCTTCCTCCCCCCGCCCAACCTCAAGTTGTAAAGTTCATTTCCAACATAATGTCTTGTGAGTATCACTGTTGCATTGGTTCACCCTTTGTCCTTTATCTCACCATTTTGTTGCTCCCCTTCCCCAAATGAGATGAAAATATATCCAAGACACAAGATACCAAAATTAAATACAATGACATCAGGGGATAAACCAAAGAGAGAAAAAGAAAGAAATAAACAAGAAATAACTTCACACAATGCATTAAAAAAGAAAAACTATTTGTTTAAACAATAGAAGTTCATTCTCTTGCAGGTCTGGAGGACTGTGAAACCAAGGTTTTGGTAAGACTGTGTTCTTTCAAAGGTTCTAGGGGATCTAGGGGGTTGACTATTCCTAGTTTCTAATGGTTACCCGCAATCAATTGGTATTCCTTGGCTTGGAAATGTATCAGTCCCATCTCTGTCTTCACTGTCACAAGAGTATTCTCTTACAAGTCTCTCTAATCAAACTTCTCTAAAGGACACCAGCCATTTAGAGGTAGAAAACATCTGGCCCACAGGTCATTTGTAAGGCCACTGATACCTGGTACATGATAGGGCAGACAAGTATGCTGCTCATCAGTTGCCTGAGGCATCTCTATTTCTGTATTGATAGTTATGTGTTTCGGAAGCCAGACTACTTAAAGTTAACTGGTTATATGTGTCACATAGAGATTATATGAGTTACTCATATATACAAACAGAACACACATACACACACACTTCAAAGTCTTCACAGTGACCTGTACACTAGTATTTGACCAGTGAGTGAAACTCCATAGCCTAGCCAACTGGAAACATCAAAATTTCACACTGTATCCCCCAACAACAAATCCTCAAAGAAACAACTGCCCAATAAATAAATGGGCTAAAGACTTAAAGAGAAACTTCTCCCAAGAGGAAAGAAGGAGGCCAATAGACAAATGATGATAGGCTCAACCTCCCTAGCCATAAAAGAAATGCAAATCAAAACAACACTGAGGTACCACCTCACCCCAGTTAGAATGGCTATAATCAAGAACTCAAATAACAGATGCTGGAAGGGATGTGGACAGAAGGGAACCTTACTTCATTGTTGGTGGGAATGTAAACTTGTTCAACCACTTTGGAAAGCAGTATG